AAAGCGATATTGTCGCTACGAGATACCAAATGCAAGGGGATATTAATACAAAGTGATTGACTACTCAAATTCTTTATTTAATTCTCCTAACGCTTGAAAATTTCTATATTTATGATCACTGTCTAATCCATAACCTATTACTCATACATTTTCCTGAATTATTAATCCATATCAATTAACTAATTTAGATTCAATAGATTCATTTCAATTCTTGAAATTAAAGTTAGTTAATTGATATTCTTTTTTACTTCCCAAACAATTAGGAGCAAATAGAGAAGGAGAATAATATTCTTCGTTATACAGTGGATCAATTGTTTGATCCACTATCTTTACAAATAAAGCAGCACTTTTAATTTCTTTGATATTCTCAACTTTAGAAAGTATCTTGTAAATAGTTTTTAAAGTTACTTTACTATCTACAATATCTTCTAATATAAGTACTCTAGAATATTTAGAAGCTAACTCTAATATTGTTTGAAATTCAAAAGTTCCAGAAATTTGACGCTCAACAAACTGTTCTATCTCTTTATCTTCTAGTTCTTCCTTAGATCTGTTTTTTGTTAATTCTTCATAATATTTTGAAACAGAAAAATGAATAGATCTATATACTAGAGGGAAATGTAATAAAGGTAGAATTGATCCAGCTAGGGTAGTAGCTCCCTCTAGTAGAGAGATAACTAAAACAGCAGAGTTATCATACATTTCATCTACTATTGTTTTTCTAGAAAGATCGTTCTTTATGTTTCAACTTTTTTCTCTAGAATAATACCAGTTAATTCGTTGTGCTAAAAAAAAAATTGAATGTTCTATTTCTTCTTTGTTAAAAATGATTTTCTTGTAGTAATGTTCTTCAAATTCTCTTCTGAAAATTTGATGATAAAGCTTCGGAAGATACTTTAAATAACTATTATTTTCAAAACAACTCTCTATTTTTTCTCGGGGAAGTAAAACGGTAGCACTTACAGCTTCTCTTAAAGAAGAGTATTCCCCTCGTTTCATCTTCCCTACAAGATTTGAAATCTTTTCGTGAGCTTCTCCCCTACTTGGAATTGAGGAAGATTTAAGTAACTCTAACATCAACTTCTGAGAATATATAACTCCTTTAGAAGAAGTAAGATTCTTAGACAAACTTGATTCACTAACCTGTAATTCTTTAAGGTAATCATTTAAGTATGAGATTATATTGAATAAGAGAGTAGGAGCGTCTTCTAAACTCATACGTTCATTAGAAGAGTGACTAATATCTCTTTCATCTCATAGCGGTATATTAGATTGGGGTAATTCAGCAATCTTGGATAATCACCTTGCTAACCCTGTAATATTTTCTAACTTCACAGGGTTACTCTTATGAGGCATTGAGGAGGATCCAACCTGACCCTGAGATAGGTCTTCAGATATTTCTCCTATTTCCTCCCTCGATAAAGTACGAAGGTTAAATGCTAAAGCATTCAAAATCTGACCTATTAACGAGAGAGAAAACAGATAGGAGAAATATCTACTTCTAGGTAGCGCTTGAGTAGAACCATAGACACTAAATAATTTGAGTCTTTGAGCTAATCTCTCCTGTAATTCTGGAGAGATATGAGCATAAGTTCCTGTAGATCCTTTTAGAGTAATTACCTCTACTTGTCTTCTAGTTGAGTAGAAGAGGGAAATTGCATTATCTAATTCTTGATATGTAATAGCAAACTTATATCCAAAAGAAATAGGTTCTGCATGCTTTCCATGAGTTCGACCCACTTGAAGAGTATTGAGATATTTGTAGGCAAGAGTATAAAGTGTCTTTTTTAGACTTTCTAGCTCCTTAGCTAAGAGTAAATTAGCTTCCCTAAGTGCTAGGGAAGTAGCGCTATCAATTATGTCAGAGCTAGTAAGACCGTAGTGTACTCACTTATAGCAAGATAGATGAGCGGTTTTTTCCTCTAGAACTTGTAAAAAAGCAACAAAATCATGTTTAGTTTTAGCCTCTTTTTCTTCCACTTCTTGAGTAGAGATAGTAGGAAGATTCTCCTCAAACTCTAAGAGATCCTCTGCTGAGAGAGAGAGGGTCTCGGAGAGAGCAAATAAAACTTCTTTTTCTAGGAGTAGTCATCTCCTATATTTAGACTCATCTGAAAAGAGGCGAGCAAGTTGGGGAACTTTATATCTAGCTATCATTAAGATAGTTAGGGTAAAAGAGTTCTAAAACTTAGATTTTAGTAAGGTTAACAAGAGTTAGCAATCTAGAAAAAAATATGCTAAAATAATTGAGGTATGGCTGTTAAGAAAGAAATAATTTTAGGGATTGACTTAGGTACAACTAACTCTTGTGTAGCAATTATAGAGGGGGGTAAGTCTAAAGTGTTAGAAACTCCTGAGGGAAAGAGAACAATTCCCTCAATAGTTGCATTTAAGGGAGATCAGATTATTGTAGGAGAAAGTGCTAAACGACAAATGGTTACTAACAAGAATACTATCTACTCCATTAAGAGATTTATGGGTACAGATAAGAAAGTAAGTGCTCAGGGAAAAGAGTATACACCTGAAGAAATATCAGCATACATTCTTTCTTATATGAAGGAGTATGCTGAAAAGAAAATAGGAAGTGCTGCTCAGAAAGCAGTAATTACTGTTCCTGCATATTTCAATGATGGGCAAAGACAATCTACTAAGAATGCAGGGAAGATTGCAGGATTAGAAGTAGTTCGAATTGTTAATGAACCTACTGCTGCAGCATTAGCTTATGGATTAGATAAAAAAGATGGAGATCAAAAGATTTTAGTGTATGACCTTGGTGGAGGAACATTTGATGTCTCTATATTGGAGATCGCAGAAGGTACATTTAAAGTATTAGCTACTTCAGGAGATAATAAACTAGGAGGGGATGATTGAGATCAACGAATTATTAATTGATTGTTAGAAAGTATTAAAGAAGGACATGGGGTTGATTTGTCGAGAGATAATTTAGTACTTCAGCGATTAAAAGAAGCTGCAGAAAAAGCAAAGATCGAACTGTCTTCTGTACAGCAAACTCAAATTATGTTGCCTTTCTTAACTATGACCGGAGGAGAACCGTTAAATGTAGACTTAACTCTTTCAAGAGGTCAGTTTGAATTATTAACTAAAGACTTGTTAGAGCGAACTGCTAGACCTGTTGAGGATGCTATTTCAGAATCTCAAGTGAAATTGAGTGATATTGACCAGATTTTGTTAGTAGGAGGTTCTACGAGAATGCCTGCGGTTCAAGCTTTAGTAGAAAAATTAACAAATAAGAAACCTAATTTATCAATTAATCCTGATGAAGTAGTAGCTTTAGGTGCTGCTGTACAGGCAGGAGTGTTAGCGGGAGATGTGAAAGATGTCTTACTGTTAGATGTAACTCCTCTGACTTTAAGTATTGAAACTTTAGGAGGAGTAGCAACTCCTCTGATCCCAAGGAATACTACTATCCCTACTGAAAAGAAGCAAATTTTCTCCACAGCAATAGATAATCAACCCAGCGTGGATATTCATGTAGTTCAAGGAGAGAGACCTATGGCAGCAGATAACACTACATTAGGTACTTTTGCTCTAACTGGAATAAAAATGGCTCCTAAGGGAGTACCTAAGATTGAAGTTTCTTTTTCTATAGATGCCAATGGTATTTTGACAGTTCGGGCAGAAGATAAAGATACTGGAAAGAGCAATAATATAGTCATCAAAAACTCTTCAGGATTATCTGAGGAGGAAATTAATAGAAAAATTAAGGAAGCTGAAGAAAACTTAGAGAAAGATAAGAAGGTTAAAGAAGAAGTTGAAACTATTAATCAAGCAGAATCTTGAATTTCTATGTTGGAAAAGCAGATGGAAGATAAAAAATCAGATGTCTCTTCTGAGATGAAAGAAGAATCTAAGAAATTAATAGATGAAATGAGGTCTCTAATTAGAGATAAAAAAATAGAAGAATTGAAGACTAAGATGACCGAAATTCAGAATTTGAGTTCTAAGATGATGCAAGAAATCTATAAGAAGGAAGAGGAAAAGAGTAAAGCTAGTGGAGGAGAGGAAAAGAAAGAAGGGGGAGCTGATAGTTCCGAAGTTAAGGAAGTTGAAGTTGAAACTGTTCAGGAGGAAGAAAAGAAATAAAATCTCCCTTTTAAATTTTTCTCATAATCTAAATTATTAGTTAAGTAAGTCTACTGAGGGGAATACCCTCAGTGTTGGTTTGTTTAATTAGCCAAATTGATAATTTGTACATTTATCTTCAAAGATTTTAGTCAGGTGTTGGGCCTTTCCGGCGCCCCCCCCAGGGAGGGGAAATAGTTTTTAAGCTCTTAAAATTTTGTTTGTGTTTTTGGTTTAGATTAAGCTATTTCCTTTTTTTATCGAACTAAATCGAGCTTAAGCAATAGAGAAAGATTAGATAGAAATAAAAAACAATTAGTCGATAGAGAGATACAAGAGATGATCGTGAAGATCATCTCTTTAGATCCTAGACCTATTCCTGATAATGTTTTGAAGTCTAAATTCTTTAGACAACTTAAATTGTTTTATCCTGAAGCAAAAGTGAGTGAAACTCAATTATCTGACTCTCTAATTGCTTTAAGGGAGAAATATCTTGTAGGTTGCAATGAATATGGAAAATGATTTATTGATTATCCTGATTACAAACCTAATGGGATTACTGGTGTAGGTTTTCTAGATATAGATGAGAATAGCGGAAACGGCTTTATTACAGTAAAGGAGAAACTTTCAGATTTTAAAAAGTCTTCTCATTTTGTTCATAGGAAAAACTTGAATGGTGCGAAAAAAGGAGATTATGTGAGGTTTGTAGAGTTAGATAGTACATTTAAAAAGAAAAGAATAAGTAGATTTGCGCTAATTGATGCTGCAATTACAGAAATAATAGAATCTTAGGGATCTCATATGAATAAGGAAGAGTTAACATTGGAGAAACGTCCTGATTTGTTATTTCGACATCCTAATGAGAAACCTACACTTGAAGAATTATCGAAATCTAAGATTGCTCATGATCTGGGGATTGCTTCAGAGCTACCGAAGCAAACTAAGAGAATATTTGCGCTCTACCAGTTATTCTCCTATTATTTTTTCAGATCTGAGACAAAAGCTTATATTTCTCTGAAGATAATAGAGATTGCTGATAGGCTTAAAGAGAGATATAAGGAAAATATGGCTTTAATTAATGAATATATTAGTTCTCCTGGAGTAGAACATTCAGATAGATTTAGAAAGCATATAGGATTTATAAACCATAAAGATTTAAAGGAATTTAGAGAAGGAGAAGAACAAATAAACTTTTTTAAACAATTACTTTACTACTACGATAAACGAAAAGAGGGCAAAATACAGTTATCTGCGGCTGCAATCAAATTAAATATAGCTGCTCTTAAAAAAATAGAAGAAGAAGCGTTTGAGTGTTGATTGAGACTATTAGATGTGAATTATGAACTTAGGAATACAATAGTTGGAAATGAAAATAAACGCGCAATATATCAATTAAGTCAGAAATATGTGGATCTTCATACTATTATTGAACAAGCAAGAGAAGCTTCTCTAGATGATTTAGAGATTATTAGAGAAGAATCAGTAAAGGAGTATTACGATATTATGAGATATTTTCAATTACCTTCAAATAAATTGTTGAACTTCAGATTGTTTCTTCAGAAAAAGCTTGAATCCAGAATGTATGAAGCTCAATTTTTGAAATTACAGTCAGGAAATGCTTTAAATTATGAAATGCTCTCACTAGATGACAACTGTAGAGAATTTAAGAGACAATATCAATTAAGTCTAAGAGAGATAACTGCAATAGTCAATCACTACAAGGAGATAATTATTAGATATCAAACATTTTTTAGTTATGAATTAGAGAAGTTAATTTCCTTTTTACAGGAAATTTACTTAAATCTCATTAACTCTATTTTTAAGAAATTAAATGAATGCAAAAACTTTTTGGATGGAAAGAAGAATAAATTATCTAGTGAGGAAATAGAAATAGTTCTTTCACTAGAGAGAGAAAAGATCTCTAAAGAGTTAAAAGAGTTACAAATTAAATATTCTTCTCTATTAGTGCCTTTAGTTGATGCTTTTGATAGTGAATTGCAGAATATAGAGAGTCAATATTGTTTTAATGTAGATTACCTAGCCAATAAGTATTCTTCACTGAAAGAATTGAAAAATAGTACACTAGAAGCATTTATTTCTAGATTTAAAGCAGAAAAAGAGAGAGTAGAGAAAGTAGCTGAAGAAAAGAAGAGAATATTAGAGAGTATGAATGAGAAAATTACAGAAGATGTAACTTCTTTAGTAGATCAATTGAGGGAGGAATGTAGTGTGTTGTGTGCAGACTTATTGAGGGAGAATCAATACTTCTGAGCGAGATTTAATGCAGAATTTAATTCAGTTTCTAGAAAGTATTTTGTAAAGTTATACTCTGAATATTCACCTTATATTTGTAGTTGAAAAGATGGAAATGAAGGATGAATGCAGGAATATCTTAAACTTAAAATAAATTCAGAGTATTTGAAAAAGATAGGATCTACTGTTAGTGAGTTCTCTCCTGAGGGGAAATTTCATGAAAAGTGTTCAAGATGAATTAATAGTTATGCTAATTTCTTCAGAAATGTGTGTATTAAGAGAGATAAAGTAGAGTTAGACTCTCTTCTGAAGTTAAATACAGTACCTAGAGTTGACTATTCTAAAGTACAGGAAAAGTTAAATTTAAGTTTAGCTGGATTAGAAGAATATCATACGAAATGTTTGAATTTAATAAACTCTCTCTTGAGTAGACAATAAGGATAATGGAGGATAATTCAGGAAAATTGCTTTCTTATATTGTTGCTAAACGTCCTATTAAGTGGGATACAACAATTATCATAGATGTATTAGCTTTTGATTTTGATGATGAAACAAGAGATGATTTTGTAAAGGAAATGAAGAAAGCTAAACCTTGATTGACACTTGAAGATTTAGATAGAATATGTGCTGCCGAGATAGTAGGAAGAAATACTCATATTGTTGCAATGGAAACTTTGATGGGTCACTATACTGCAGTCTATCATGATGAAGATATTGAAGATAAATTAGTGATATTACGAAAAGATATGGCAGATTTAAATAAGGAAGGTCATAATCTGAAATATAATGAAGCTGAATTGCGGGAAAAAGCTAAGGGAATGATATTACATGATTTGATATATGAAGATCTTGCTAAAGCTTGGGGAATTGAAGTAACTAGAGAAGAGTTAATGTTCTTTTTAAAGTTTGTATTTGCTAGAGCAGGGAATGATATCTCTGAATATATGAATAATCCTAAAGCATTTGAACGAGCTAGAAGGGAAATATTAGCTTCTCAAGTGGGTAATCAGTTAAGAAAACGATTTAAGCCTCATGTGACAGTTCCTAAATATAGAAAATATGCAGAATACATAGCTAAAAACTATAAATCAGACTTAATATAGTAGTCGGGGGG